TATAGTATATAAAATAAAAACGTAAAAAAAAAAAAAAAATTCTGGTCTAATAAAAATGTGAATTCTAAGCTTTCACTATATCTATAACTCTTCTAGCTGATAAAATGGACATATCTATTCACGCTCAACGTATTCCTTACACCATTTCGATAATGTGCTATTTAGAAACGTGTCATTAAAAATTGCTATTTTAGTAGAATTTACATGTTTGACTAATTGGCGTGTGCAGTTTATAAAACACGAATAATCGTGTCTGATTAGGATCAATGCTTGCTGAAATACTGAGAAGTGTAAACCGTGAAAAACACTGATAATGAATAATGCTCTGAATAAATAAAATTTCACTTGCAAATTTATGTAAAACTTTTTTACTGTTACATTTTATAGCTTAAACAAATTGAATTGGAAATGTACATATTTATTGTTCCAAAGTAATCGGTTAGAAGTGTTCGCAATTTTGAAATTAGAACCACGGTTTAATACATTGAATAAATATTTGAAACATTTTTCACATATGATACATGCATGTAATTAAAAATGCTTATCTTATCATTTGCAAAATTTCTGTTTTAAAATAGTGATCATTTTGTAGAAGTTACGAGCGCCAAATTAATATTGAAAAAATTATAGCTGATAATCAGAAATGTATTTTTTTCTCTCTCTCTCTAAAGTCGTCGATTTTCAACGTAGAAAGTAGAAAAAGTATTTTTCATTGAACAACGTTATCATCGTTCAATTATCGCGAGAAAATATTTTTTTTTTCTTTGGTAGAGCGTCCTTCGTGAAATGAAACAGCTTAAGTATTGTATTATTATCCCGATTGCAAGCATTACATCGATATTATCGATTCATTTATCGATGTCATCGACAGATAAGATTTTAACAGATTAGGATTTCATATTAGCTGAGATAAAATAAGTCGATTCCTTTTTGCAGTGCCGCAATTATAATCCAGTAGAAAATAATAAATGATACAGCTAGAAGGACGTTTTTCTTAATTCCAAATTTGCCATTAAAGCAAATAATATATCTCCTAATGAAACATATTGCAAATTAATTTTTTTTTTGTACAGTTCAATCATCATTTCGGTAAGAATTTTAGTAAGAAATTTATTTATTTGTTTAATGTGAATTTTGTGGAATAAAGAAGTAAAGTGAAAAGTTCATAATATTTAAAAATGTTGAGTTGCAATATCGTTTACATTTTTGCATTGTAAATGACGCAGTTTATCCATTTGTGCATACTGAGTGACGCAGTTTATTTATTTTTAATTTAATTTAATTTCATTCAATATTGCTATTGAATTTACAATCAAAGAGAAATAAATAATTCGTTGAATGAAAATTTGAGAAGCATACGAATAATTAACGTACATATATTAAATTGAAATTACTAAATAATGAAATATGGAATTATTAATTCGTCAATTTTTACGAAATTTTTGAAATAATTGAACGTGTTTAATATTTCTATTCGGTTATTTTAAATCGACGATAACACATTAATCTCATTAAAGAATCATTATCTGAAGTATTTTTAATGTATTTTCAGCATAATTTCCCAACGAGTACCTTATTGTTTCAATTTATCTTACAAATCACGATTCATTCGTCTGAGTATCGAAAGCATTATCATTTTTCTAAATTTTTAAGCAATTTCGTGTAAAGAAATATTCAACACTTTTTTATAGGTAATTTTCAATGATTTTTATTGAAATTGTGCCAAAAATTAAGTGCACACATTAAATAAATACACAAGAAATTAAATACATAAAAGATTTTTAAATAAATCGCAAAGTACATAAGAAAACATTTTAATAGAGCATGAAACTTTGTCTCATTTTTTGTATTCTCCTTCTCTGCTTCCTCTCTTTCTCTTTACTCTGCTTTCTATTCTCCCCACTTTATCTTCCAACATATTTATCTTGTATTCTAATTCAATTTCCTTCTCCTTCCAATTCTTTTCTATATGTAGCATTCTTTCGTTTAGTTCTTTCAGTTCTTTCTCTGTTTCTTTTCTATCTCCCTTCAGATCTTTCCTCATTTCCCTTATTTCAGAAAGTATATCTTTTAACGAACCTTGCGTCCTTCCGTCCGCTCTTTCTACCTCTTGTTCCTTCAACTTGTTCTTGCCTTCGTTCCTTTGCTTCTCTGATGTCATGTTATTCGTTAAATTACTTCTTTTAGAGGCTAGATTCCAGTCACCTTTCAAATTTTCCTGGTTTTCCCGCTCTCCATTCATATTTCTTGTTCGTAATTCAGCATTCAACGGTCTCCTTTTTTATGCTGCCGGTTTTCCGGGTGGCGTGAAGTGTGTATAATTCCAGTTCCTCTCGCTCTTCTTGCTACTCGTTCATTTCCTTATTGCTTCTTATTTCACTCTGTAATGTGGTGCCCTCTCTGTCTTTGTTCTCATACCATTATTTCCATTCCCTCGCGTCTACCGCGCTTTCCATCGTATTGTACCCTAACCTCAAATTCTATCCATTTACCTTTCTTGATATCAGAAGCTCTACCCCGCTTTATAATACTGTACCTATTATTTTAATACGTGCTGATTTCGTCCCTTTCTCCAACACCTTCCTGTTTGTCCTAATTTACGTTTTCTTTTTTAA